AGGGCGCACGACAGGAGCAGAGATCAGGCTTCAGTCCAAGTCGTCAATTGAAATTAGTCAGCAATGTGGAACAAAATGCTGCACTAAATCGATACCTCAAGGTCAAACAAAAAGGGTTTTGTAAAATAGATTTGGAGCTAGTGATAATCCGTGAAAGCCTCCCAAATTTACAAGTTTGGCAGAGTGGTACAGATTTGGGAAAACTGATCGTGGTATAGTGGTGGTTTGGCACCCTTGCGACATTGTCGGAGAGCTGCATTAAATGTTATGGCTTTCCGCGTTTTGTCGCTTGACAGAGGTCACTTCTGGCTTACTTCAGAGTCGTTTGGATTGACCAAGCAGCTTCTCAGAATTGGTTTTTCGAAATTCGCTCAAAATAGTTTAGTTGACCAGAAAAGGCTCTGGATAACACAGTCTTGAAATCGTTGAACTCAAACTATCAATATCTGCGATATTCGTCTTAAAGAGCCAGTGAAAATGTCGAGGTTTGGAAAGAGGCCATCATGTGTGACGCAAATTCGATCGCCTACTCTGACATCGACTGCAAATGACACCTGTCAAACTATGATAAACCATCACAAACTACCTCGTAGAATGCGGACTTAAAACAGAAATAAATTTGGTGGCAGAAGTTATGCGCTTTAAGAAGCTGAATGCTGAATTAGAAATCAGTTAAGGGATAACGGCAGGAATCCAATTTCGCCAGATCAGAGTAAGCTGATCCAGTGGTCAAAAGATTGGATGGCTTTCTTGGTTAATGGTTGCATGCTTTCTGTGCGCAGTAAGAAGTGTCTGGTGCTACACCAGCGTGATTCCTACCTTCAAACTTAGTTGCACTGCAGTATACTCGATGAAGTGTTATTCCTGGTGTTCTGTAAACCAGCTGCGCCATCATATCGCCTCTGACACTGTTCCGAAGTTGTGAAAAGACATCTTCCTGTGTGTGCGATCGACTGGTGATGTTCACGAATAAGGAAGGGCTTGTCAGTGAGCTCAGTCGTTGAAATTACGGCCCAAGTTCTTCATTAAGCATTGTGGAATGCGTGGAAGGTTTCCACCGATGGACGCAGAAGTGTTTATTACTTGAGAAAAGTCAAGGTAAATCGGCCAATGAAGGAGTCCAACGATCACGACTTAGTGGGATTGGAGGGCACGTCCTGAGGTGGTTGAACACTTAGAAGACGCACTAAGTGATTGATTTTGTACCTTTCGTTACTTCGGCACGTTTTTGACAGTGTTGAAGGGAAAAGCTCTCGTAGAGCAGAATCACCATGTGTGTTTTAACGGCCGCCACCACCACTCCCTCCTCCTCCACCGCCACGTCCACCACCACCACCACCACCTCCTCCACCATCACATCCACCACATCCCCCACCCCACCACAATCTTCTCCTCCACCACCACCTCCTCCACCACATCCACCACCACCACCACCTCCTCCACCACATCCACCACCTCCACCACCATCTCCTCCACCATATCCACCATTTCCACCACCACTTCCTCTACCACCTCCCCAACCAACACCTCCTCCACCACCGTCACCATCATCACCACCACGACGGTTAGCTCAATTTTTTCCAAATGACTGCATGAAAACGATTATTTTTTTGCTCAGGATAAAATGCCCATTTAAACAAATCCATTCAAGCAATGGACGAACACAAAGCGCAGATAAAACATTGAAGTTTCCCTTCTCTTTTATTTCAGCTAAAAAAACATGACAGTTAAATTGCCATGGGGAGGTTTGCAACGCTGTAATCATTTATGTGAATTTCCAAGAAACTGCAAGCAAAGCAAGTAAATCAGATTACGCCCAATTCGGTCAATTTTCAGCACTGAAACCTCTTCTCTCCCTGCGCAAACACTAACTTTTCGAGGGCCATAAAATGTCAGTTGATCAATTAAAAGACAAATTTAATGGCAATTGCACTGTCTAACGAGGTGTCTGATTTCAAAATGTCCCACGATCAAAGTATGTGAATTTAAACAATCAAATTTCTAACAAGTAATAAAGATGTAGTGGTCTTCTAAGGTATTTCCCCGCAAGAAATAGCCATTTTTGGTGTTAAAAGGTGGTTAAAAACGGTCGAATTTGGAACCAGCCCTAACATACACCGATGTGCTTCTTTACCCACAACTGTACGGAATGGTATACGAGCAAATGTGCTTTCTGTGGTTTGTGTGCGTGAGATCTAGCTATAACGCCTTGATCGAGGCAATATCGAAGTGAGCAAGTTTCCCCGGGGTAAGATTATCACGTCGTAAACTCCATGGTGTGCAACGTAAACACGCATCTGCCTGACCGACCAATTGCTTTCTCCTCTGTTCTATCCGAAACGGATATTTTGCTTCCTGGTCACCTTGATTCCCCTGCCGATTTTGATTAGTTATTCCTGAGGAATGAGACAAAGACATGATTGGTTCCCTCCACTAGGAATGTGCACTAGAAAGGAGTTGTGCACACCTCGACCTAGAATGAATAATCCTTGAATTTTTCTCTTGTTTAAGTGAGTTGCCGCGGACATTGTGATTCGTTCACTTTTAGGCACCAGTGTGTGCGTGTGCTGTGAAAAAAATGTTTTCATTGCCAATCAGCTCGAGGTAAATCTGATTGGCTATCCGCTGACACGATGGGTATTATCGCAAAACTGACCTCCACGTGCACAATCGATCGATGAAATCAGCGTTTACGGTGAGTTTGTGCAGGAATTACTTTGATGCTGATTAATCCGGTACGAGAATTGAGGATTTCTCACCCAATCAAATTTGTTTAACATGTCACAATTTAAGAAAAACTAGACTACTCAGCATCTGGAGAAATTGGTGGAGGAGGCAGGACATCCAAGGAAAAATCCTGGAACTAGGAGTCAAAGAAGGCCTCATTTCGGTAAATTAGTCTTGACATTTGTCAGGTGCACTGATTCGGTGCGTAGTCATATTCTCCACTTGTGGTTTGAAGGACAGTAACAAAATTCAAATTTTGCCAAATCTTGAGATAAAATTTTTGTGGGAGGGGATCAGCAGTTTTGATTTAGACCATGGTTTGCTCTGAGTGAATATTTGTGTTAAATGCTGTTCCCAAAACACACTGCTACACATAACGATGTTGCCTTGTATGTGAAACAAGTATGCCCTCATTCGGTAAGGGAATCGTATGAGATGAAACAAGTTAACTCGTGAAAATCACTATGCTCTGGTGCTTTTTGCAATTCGAGGCTGTCCGAGAATGTCTGCATGGAGATGCCAAATCTATTTTCACAGCATCCCTGCTGCCTGATTTCAGTTGGTGGGAATGGAGAACAGTTGTTAGATATAATGGCGTTGTTGTGAATAGCGTTGATCAACACTCGCTAAACCAATCATTCCAACCTCCCACCCAGGCTCCCCTTTTCCCAGCATGTCACCATCCACGTGGATCCTAAACTCCCCCCTCGGTCGCACGCCTATTTATCCTAGATTATCCTCACATCCAGGTCTCGATGCTAGCTCATCTATGACTCACATATCTGAGGTATAAATACACACGCGCAAACGCTATCCACGACACAACGACATCAACGTGGTTGAGCTCTGAAGTAAAGGGCTGTGTCCACGTCCTCTCTGGTCTTTTCCCTCACCTCAGGTATCAGGGAAGCGTGATCGGGCTAGAGTTAACTCAGTGGTCTCTTGTATGGTTCAAGACCACATGCTGGTTGCCACGGCAACGTATTCTCATTTTCCACTGCAGACAAAAACTTACAACCTGACTGATCATTCCTAAATATTTTTGTGAAATTTTCTTGGCATTTGTAGCACAGTAGCCTTTAAAAATTAGCAGAATCGTAAACTTCTGCCGGTGCATCGTATTTTGTTTGCTTTAAACATTAACAATTAATTTGCAAATTAAAAAAACGAGTTTTCTGGAGCCAACTGGACTTAATGCGGCTTAATTTCGAGAACAAATTTGTTCCCCAAAGGGCCGCATTTAAGCCAGAAAACGTTTGACTCCCAAAACAGTTCAAACGAAGGTTTCCGACCACGGATTCCCTCCAGGTGTGAATTGTGGAATTTTGATTCCATCGACTCTTTGCGAGTGATCTTGCTAATCTTTATGTAAATCCACCAGACGCTTACTTGATTGCACTCACCGAACCAGGTGGTCTAGCAAGTCATAATCTAATAATTTTACGTTTAATTATTGCGCAACAGCCCTGCGTAGTGGAAGGTAGGCATTTTAAAATACGCTCCCTCAAGGTGATCTATTTTGAATGTTGTGAATCGTGGTAGTTCCTGTTCACGTCCAAGCAACAGATTTTGGTGAGGCTCAGGTAGTTTGAGGGGTATTGCAGGGATTCCTCTAGATTCTTACCTTTTACCCGGTATGTAGATGTGATTCTCCGAGGTCAGTAGTTGGTAACCCCATGTTTGCAGAGAGCTTTACTGTCAGTGGAAGTTGAGTGGATGCTCAGATGTACAAAACGACGTGTCGTCACTGCATATTTGTAATTGTGTGGACAGATCTGAGTGAAACCTTGGATTATTTGACATCCCCAGCTATATTGACCATAATTTCTGCGAAGATTGACGGTACAACTTAATGCGCGGCTTATTTAACTAGTGACCACAAGCGCACTTCGAAAAGCTCTGCAAAATCCACATGGTACCACACTGTGTTGTGCTGTTCGTGTCATTAGATACTCAAAACATCTGCGTGCACAAACTGTAAAATTATTACCAATCATTGTAATGTGTGCCAATAAGGTTTTAGTTGATGGTATAAATAATCGATAACATGGGATAAGACGCATCGAAGGGACTCGAACACGAACTTACTCCTAGCATTCTCAGGTTCTTCAACAATTCATGACACTAGCTGGTCGCCTGATCCCGACAAAATCAATAACCCACATTCCTCCAGTTCATACCTCACCCAGTTTTCGTGCCACTTCAACAAAATTAAACTAAACTGTACAATGCATTTTCTAATCGACAAATTCTAAGAAACAATTTTGACGGTGTCAAACGTAGTCAACGTCTGCGCTGAGAAGGGGGATGGAGTGCCAGTGTGTACGGTTGAGTCTTCGTCGATTATCCCTGCACCAGTGGTTTCGATCGAAGCAAACCACAGCTGACAACACAACCACAGCGAAGACGACGGACAAAACTATCCACCCCAGTGGCTTCCAGAAGTTGCCGCTTCTTCGTCTTGGCAGAGCTGCGCACCAATGAAATTAAAGTTATCAATCGATTGGCCAATCAAATTTCACTTAGGGCAATCGGAACACAAATCGTGAGAAGTTGTTATTCCCAGAAGTCTGATCGTATTTAGGACACGTTTGATATATAATAAATGTATATTCGTTTTAACAGCCTTCTCCTAAATGAACGTTAGGGACATTTGATTGGTTAGCCCAGCTCTATTATATATGGTGTTTGAGGTTAGCAGAACTTTGCACTACAACTGACCAATCAGGAAACAAGACCTGACCTACGGTGGCAATACCTGTCACACACTGATGCTCCAGGCGCAGGACAAGAGAGTTTCCATTGAGCCAGTAGGCCTGCCCGTCACACGTCGGATCTGTGAGTGCTTGAACGCGGAAGGAACAGTTCTGGCGTCCATCGCAGAGGTCGTAGATCTTCACCAGAGCTTCGTCCGGTGGTGTGGAGTAGGTACAGTGACGGAGAAGCCTTCATTGATTTTCAGATTTTGGAAGAAACATTCAAAAATCAATTTGATTAAGTGTTTGAAATGTTCTCAAGATATCTCGGCTGACTCAGCAGCTCAGTTTAAACGCCACTTATTCACTTCAAATTACATTCTCTAAGAATCAAGTGTGGTTGATGTGAAATCAATTGGGCATTGTGCAACAATCGTACACTTAATCTTTGTGGAATGCCAAGTCCTTGAGTAGTACGTCTCGTGGGCTATCGTAGACTGACGCTCCAGCAATTTTATTGGTTTTGAAGTTTTAAACAGGAGGACGTCTTCCATCTCAGTCATGACATTTTAGAATTCTGAATCGGACCAAATCTTCAATGTTCAACAGGTTTTTCTTGAAAACATTACCATGCCGCACTCTTGTTGTCTGTTCTTCAGGGCGTTTTACAAAGAATGCCCTAACCTATTCAGCTTCAGATGAATACTCGTTATTATTCAGTCGTCAATCGTTGATTTTTTGTCACTTGCATTCCTGGCGCGTGATTTTCATTCCGAAACAGAAATAATACAAAAAATTCCTAAGAAGCAGGGCAATCAAATTAATTTCAGTTCAATTACTTCCCTGTCTGGTGATCACTGATTCCTTCTCTACATGATCTCCGTGCAAGGTCGACGCAAGGTCAGGCTAAACTCAGTCAAATGAACATATCGATTTCTGATCAACTGTACTGGCGGAAAGTCCATTTAACGGGGTTAGCGATTTGCCATCGAAAAATTGACTGACATGCGATTTGATGGCACAGTGATGGTTGTCAAGATCAGCGTCATGCGGTCACGCATGAGTCGTGTTAATTCATGTCCACTAACCCGTAGCTGCGTTCTCCGACACAGTCCCCCTTTGCACAGCGCACCCGTCAGTCATACGGGACCGCTTGCTCAAATACCCCTGTGGATGTACCCCACTCTCTATCCGTTTAGCCTTCGACTAGTTTACCAAAACTATTTTAGTAAAAAAAGAAACGACTTCTGTGGTGATTTGCTTTGCACCAGCTTGCAAACCTGCTGACAGCCCGTAACGAGCGAGACAACAGAGGCGACAGTGGACACGACCGTTTACCAGAGGCCATTTGCATGAAGTACAACTTTTAGTGCAAATGAGTAAGAGGGCGTAACAGCCGATCAATAACACAAACCAATGAACATCGGTCTAAGGCAAGTTTTGAACCAACCGCAGAGGACGTTACCAAGACTCCAGATGTCTTACTGCGGATATCTGCAGTCGGGATCATCTAATGGCAGGATTAATTGAGATTGCTTCCTCAAAGTCAAACCGATTACCATCTGAGCCCATCGAAACATCAATTTCCATCATCCCATGGTGACCGCGGAAAGTGGCAGACGGTGTCGGGATCAATACACTTTTCTGCTCAGCTGCCTGGCATTTTTTGGTTTCCTTATTGGGTGGGTACTTTTACATTTAGGGAGTCTGGTTAGCCTGAATAGTGTCGCTTTTTTTCCAACTTTGGTGTGCAGACCGACCATACTGGAAAATACTGTAAACCGGAGTAGACTTATCTTCAGTGAAATGTGTTAATTGGTAACAATTTTAGCCAATTTGTAGAAAAATGAGGTGATCTCACCACTCTGGGAGGTGTTGGGGATCCACGATTCCCCAAGACTGGTTTCTGATTCTATTTACATTAATTTATTGACATTTGTTTTGTTACGCTTTTATCAAGTCAAGGTCAACCTTGACTTGAATTACTTTCGATTTCACTTCTTCTCTGCACGTGGCTGACGTGAATAAAGCTCTCTACTCGAGCTCTGATCTTGTTCTGGTATTAGCCTGGGAGGGTCGGTTCTAGCTTTCAGCAAGGGATCTGGTACCGTTATTTGAGTGGTCTTCCCTTTGTTACGGGCAAACGCAACAGGAGGTCAGTCAAAAATGCATTCAAATTTGGCGCGTCTACAAATGGTTAATTTAAACAAGACTAATAATCGATTATTGAGTTTCAACTGTTTCACATAACGACTGTTTCTTCACGATGTGTGCATGGGCTGTTTTTTTCGGACTTAGGATCATAGAATTACTAAATTCGAATTTGTCATTTCACATAACGACACAAATAGAAGCCTCATTCAAAACCGTCATGATTTTCGCGTCTAGTGCCGCACTATTTTTGTGCAAGCAGGTGGCATTATGGCCCTGGTTTGTACTACGTTGAGCGTAAATAACGTTGGTGGAGACTTTTGAGTGGAGTTGAAAGTTTGAGTAGACCTTTCGTCTCAGAACCTGTCAACAGCCAATCACTGATATGTGCTGAAGTTGATCAAATTATGAATTGGCGCATTGCCCTGGAAATCGACTTACAAACGGCCCACAAACTGCGTCCGAATTGGTCATAATTTGATCGTTGAAATTAGGATTATTTTTACACTTTATCGCCCATTAGATGGAATGGCGACTCAGTAAACCTGCAAATCATTTCATTGTTGAAAAAAAGACGAAAGAAAATTTTAAAAAAGGAAATATCCACGGGTAAACTTGGGTATCAAGGCCGATCTGTGAAAGCCCAAAATGCAAACGTTTAGGCCTGATTTGAGGTTGAGTTAAGTGAGGACAGGGTTGACACAGAGGCATTTGCACTCATTCCAGCCAGGCCTAGTTCAGATGTGCGCATAAGTGAATTCTCAAACATTCTCGAACTTTCTGCGGTTATTGCGGATGGCCTGGTGTGTTCACTGCCCCATGTCAACGTCGGCCTCAATTTAAAACCCGTTCGAAATGTTTGATTCAAAATTTATGCTGACGAAAATGTTTTTCACGTGATAAAACAAGAATGCCCTGAAACCATACTCAGCAGAAGGTAGGTGATAATGGCTCGACACCAAGTCTTAGGCAGAGAGCAGCTACGCCACATTCCCACATAAGTTGGCGCCACGCTGGTTCAGGAAGGTGTTGTATGGTGCTCAAGTCAAAATCAATAATTCAATCTGAAAAAAAAACATTTGAGCCTAGATCGCAAACCAGATTGGATGACTTCGTGTTTACGCTGAAATGAATTGAGGTGATTGTAGAGCAAATGCATCGTCCGTGACTGAGTTTTCAAGGCTGAATAGAAGGTTGTGACATTCACTGAGTTGAATCTAGCTCTAGTCCCAGTTGGGGAAGGCTGTTGGAGCAATGTTCTGTTGCCTCTCGTTGACGACGCGTCGTTATAGTCCTAGACGGCGTTAACAACCCGACTTCAGTAGAATTACAGCAGATTCATCAACTGCATCTGTGATGAATTCAACTTCTTCGTCGACATCCACAGAACCCTATGAAAGGGAGGATGGATCTGAAGGCACAGATATGTTGCAGCCCGATCCGACAAGAAGTACGCAGGAGAGACAGAAGGCGACGAAGATCTAGCCGTCGATTGGGCCGCAGAATTTGGGTTTGCTGAGTCACGACTGCTGTCGCGTTCTGATTGGTCAAAAGTGTGAACAGCCAGGAGCTTTGTCACAGATGTGTTCACACTGGTTGTTGGGGCGTACAGTGAGACGATTCACAGGGAACAACCCGAAACGGGGTCAGTAGCTCAGCGTGGGATTCGGGCAGTGGGAAATGAGTTAATCCAATGGCCAGTCGTAAATTAACAGGCGAAAACAAGTGATAAGTAATCGTGCCAAGTTGAAAAATCGTCACTTCTGGGAGAATGAATTCTGATTGTGATGCCACTCACACAAAATGCAAGTGAAAATATTTTTATTAGGGAAAGTTAAAAGTGACAATTTGTGTAATCTTGGATTTGATTCCTGTATAAACACAAAAAGATCAACCACGTCAAAAATCACCAGTAAATTCATATTGAATTTTTGAACTTTCCAATAAGGAAATATCACGGTGTTCTAGAAATGGAGATATCGATCGATGACACATATTGAATATCGATTGAATTCGAAGGCCAATTTAACAAAGTACGGAGCACAGTTGTTTAAGTTGCTGAAATTCAAATGAGTGCTCATCGGGCGCGTTGGCCCAGTAAAACAAAATTAGATGGCAAATTTACAACCGCGTCTGGAGCTAATTGCAAAGTTGTAGTGAGTAGATGCAAATCACGCGCATATATTCAATGGAGAACCATTACTACTAGCGCAAATGCACTGGGAGTCATTTGTGTTGATCAATTATTCTATGTCTATAATTTGTTTAAATTAATCCCGTGTCACTTTGTACGAACCGCCCCTATTAATCAACCGCAGACAATGTTGAAATTTACTGGTGAGTAGCAGATGTGATTTTGGAATCAGTCAGGTCACCAACTACACCCAGATTAAGATGGACTAGCCACGAAAAATAAACTGGTTGAACAGCCCACAAATTTGCCACCCAAACCGAACAAGCGTTGTAACTTTGCTTTGCAAGCATTTCCCCCCATAAAATCGATATTTGACGTACCCGTTAGGATTACACAGGAGATGACTGGAAGAAAGGCGACGGCGACAACGAAAGTCATCCATTCCAGGAGACCACAAACACGGATTCTTGTCATTTACAAAGCACATCCTCTGAGTCTATTTCCCAACTGAATATCAGTTTAAATTAACAAAATCCACAGTAATTAAAGGCACCCAACGCAGACATGAATGTTTGTTTGCTGGTTTCCAAAATGCTTCAGTCTAACTCAAAACAGCAAATTATTAAGAATTTGGGCTCACATTTACTGAGAGACTTGATAAATTTGATGGTAGTGATATTTGTTGCGACATGTGCACGGCCACAGAACGATCCTGCTGTTCATTGACGTCCGTGGATCAAAATAACGGAGAAAGCGAGCCCAATCCAACAATGATAGTTTGGCAACAAGACCCATTCCATGCATTTGTTGAGATGTGTTTCAGTAGTATGATTAGATTGATTTAAAGCGAAGGAAAGTCTAAAGAACACCAATCACATAATCAGATTTGTGAGCAATTCGCCTTACGACCTTTTGCCAACACGTTAACTACAGTCTCTGAACTCAAAACTGTTGTCGTTGTTGGTGACGACAGGTAGACAATCTTAACGACATATCCAGAGCAAAATGTCAGAAAAGACACCTCACGACGTGTCCAATGCTGCAATTAATATCTCTCCTCATTTTTCCTAATTACTTGGGAGGCATTTGGACACACAAACCACGAAACGACCAATCACAGACGCCAATCAGCTGCGTCTTGTACACGATGTGTTTCACTCAAACAAGCCATCAAACGACTGGTGAAAATGCAGTGATAGGCATCAAACGGGGGCGATGCTGTTGTCAATGCAAGAGTTCACACCTGATGTGACCTAGAATTAGACAACCTAATAATCAAACGTTATTCCTGGTTGACTGGGACAATGGGAGACACCCCGCAATTGAGATCCGTTGGCAATACAACTGGTGACTTGGCGCAACTAGTAACGACACCAGCAACAGCGCAAATTTCATTGGTTCGTGGTGGAGGCGATTAAATTGCAGTCAAAATTCGGTCTGATGATGGTCATTCAGCTGCCAGCGACATTGTAGACAGTTCAAACCAATCACATACCACGGCTATCAGACATCGACCTGGGCGTCGTCTAGTCGTTAGGATGCTCGACATTTGGATTCGGCGCTAATTGAAACGAAACTGCTTAGCATGACTCATTGTCACTTGTGAATCACGACATTAACCTACACTTCGATTGGCCTGTTCATCTTGCAACAAACCACCACCACTAGTGACACACAGAGCACATCTTGCGCAGTGACGCTAATCACGGATTGTGGAGACTGGCGTATGACCAGCAACCACAAGAGACACAACTGATGCGGAATGGAAGCAAACAACGAGCAGGCTGCTAAGTTCCTGGGATTGTGGCAATGCTGATGCGCATCATTTGGTAGCGTTACCACAGAAGGAGACATCACAAACGACATGGAATGCGCCCAGATTCCGTCAAGGAGAGATTTTGTTGGCGATTGGGTGGGACCTCGGCAAAGGATCTTTGTGCATGTTTAGCCAGTGAACACAGATTTCGCTAACCCATTAACAGTAAATATGTGGAAGGAGATTGGACGAATCATAATGATTTGGACGAAAATTCAACCGTTAGATGTTTGGGACGAAATTGGCCAAATCCACATTCTGCAAGCCACAAAATACCAGTGACTCGTCACTCTGATGAACGCGTCACTTGGGGCAGTCACGCATGACCACTTTCGAATTTGCATTCAACCACAAAATTGCCCACGAAAGATTAGTTTCATTTGCTCTCCTAAACCACATTCATCCTCATGCCAAACGTTAATTTAATAAGCGAAACCCGCCCCAGCGACCACCTTGACATCACACCCAAACAGAAAGGAGACAGCCCAAAGTGGAATTCGAGTTTGGTGTGTTTTGTCAAACTTTCTATTAGCATCAGCAATAGAATCGAGCCAATTGTGAAAGGGAGATAATTGTTGTATCAATCGGTCGTGCAGGCGATTGAAATTTATGAACGTTAATATCATTGGTCACAAGTTGGTTGTCGATATATTTGATTGGCTGACACTTGAGATACGATAACTGTGGCTTAGGAACCACGAAACGAACTGGCATTCAACTAAAATTTAAACGCTGAATCCCGTTCCACTTGAGATTTGTTTCTGGTCTCTGAACGTTGCAGAACAAAATATTGCGATTCTGTGGAAAAAATGGTTTTATTACTGGTGGGGTGGTGTGGCATCGCTAAATTTATTTTGAAGCCAATGGTGAACTTCGCTCAGGCTCTCTACCAACGTTCGATCCAATAGGCTATCGATTTCTACTAACGTAAATCTCATTGGCCAAGATTTAGCTGCTAAATTAGGGATTTTTGCCAAATTAAGACCCACATAATTTAAATTAAGTAGTATTCTTCCTTGCTGTTTGTTTTTTGGTTACGAAATTTGTCTGCTTTATAGATGACTTGCTGTACTGCGCTGATGAAGACGTCACTCTAGCCTGCCCATCTAACGATACAATAAGGTTTTGGCTGGCGTCGTTCGTTGAGATGAAACCCAGTTTCTGCCATTCTCGTAATCGCCAATTTCACAGTCGGTGAGTAGCGCCACCTTGTTGCCATAGTTGTTGTTACTTTTTTTCCTATAAATCGAGTTCCCTATCCGTGTGTGTTTGGTGTCAAAAGTCACTGCTCACAAGAAACGCAAAGTTGTCATGACAATTCAATCCTGGTTCCTTTGATTTGGTGTCAGCCTTCGTTGCTATGGTTTCTTGTGTACTTCGTTACCATCCATTCAAACAACGCGTCTGTTTTATCGCTTATTTAAAGCCTCACTAAAGCAGTGTCATGTGAAGTGTTAATTATAGCCAGGCTGAAGTGGTTTTTAACTAAAAGTGATATTTAATCAAGTGCATTCCTGAATTTGGATTTGCAATCTTTTCCGAATCCCTTTAAACAGGTCCCGGATACAGAATAAGTCAACTTTTTTTATAATGCAAAAAAAATTAAAATCTATTGAGAACATACAGTTTACCATTAAATTTCTGTTTGTTTAAATTGACCCCGATTTGAGTTATTAGTTTGCTTGTAAAGTTGCGAGGTTAGGATTCGAAAATCGATTTTTCGATTTGAGGCACTGCATTGTCAAAATCGATACTTGATCGCATCGAGCCAACCAATGACAGTGTATCCAAAATGCTAGCCCATTAAATTAGCGTGCAGCTAACTAGTGACCAATAAAATTGACGATCATGGCAATCGATCGCCTTACCGATCAAACATTCGCTAACGCCCATCGTGGCAGTCGGTCGCCAAAAACATGGCAGTGTGTGAATTAATTAAGAGCAAGTAAAAACGAGAAAACTTTGTCAAGTTGATAAAAAAATTCACCTTTTCCCAATTCATTGGATCATTTTGTTGAGGCGAAACGAGAGCGTAAAAAACACGCCAAACTTGAGTCCCAGTTCAGGCTGACTCGTTTCTGTTTGGGTGTGATGTCAAGGTGGTCGCTGGGGCGGGTTTCGCTTATTAAATTAACGTTTGGCATGAGGATGAATG